GTACCATTCCATTACATAGTTAACATTTTCATCGATATCGAAACTTACCTGTAACAGCAGTTACTTTCGGTGGGAATAGTCTGGAACGAGGCGGGTGGTGAGACGGCGTCGAACACTTCTCCAACAAGGATTTAGGTGTATGAGGGCTGTCGAACAATCTGAAATAACATGATCATATTAAAGTACACAACATGTATGTTTGGTTAGGTTAGGTTAGAATTTAACAGAAACTTATTATATAGAGAAATTTAAAGACACCCAAAGCCACTAAAATTTGTTTATTTCACTATATGTTATAAAACGTATTCTTGTATTATACTTTACATCCTATTGAGAGCATTGTGGAACACCTGAGGTAAATCACAAAAGACTTCCATTGTATTATTTATAGGAAGAGGGGAGCTTCGTGTTGAAAGGCAATAATTCCATACTTAATATTATAAATGCGCACGTAACTATCTGCCTTTCTGTTAAGTTTTCATGCCAAAACTACAGAACCAGTTAGAATAAAATTCGGTACACGGATAGAGTGGAACTTGGGAAAGGACACGGGTTAGTTGTCGTGGAAAATGGGCTTAACGGGGTCGATAATAATCGAATTCAACACGAGCGAAACCGCGGGTGAAAAGCTAGTTGGAAATGATGCAACGGAACGTTTTGTGCGCAGTTGTTATTCATATCGACCTCGAGCACAGCGTCGTTACAGCGTGGAGGTTCGATGAAATAAAACCTACTTCAAAAGGCAATATTTCATCGGAGCTCTATGCTATCACTGCTCTGTCAACATCGAAGGTACCACAACACTCAAACCCGAGACAATATAGGAAATTTTTCTGCATCTATTCAACCGGGAATTGAACTCATCCCGGGCCGGTGACACCTATAAACCGGCATGCTAAATAGTCGGCTACGGATATCACGAAATAATAATAAAAAAAAAAATATTAATAAAGATATACTAATTTTGTCAATGACAGGATAACGTAGCAAGATTTGTAACGAAGTAAAAAAGACACGCCATTTATACCCATAATGAATTACGGAAACATGCCAAATACCACTTTAGCAGATACAAAATAATGTTCAAAGTGTATCGAATCAAATAAACGAGAAAACTACTTACGGCGACCGCGTAAGGTTCAAAATATTCTGGTAAACAATTTTTTTTAAGCAAGGTGATTCGTTTTGTGGGTGTATAGGTAGTATTTTTTTATGGAATCAAGCAGATGTCAGCTGTTCGGGAATCAGATGTTTCTGCTATATTGTATAACTGCATTTTAACTGAATTTTTCATCGTATGGAATGGCAAAATATGTTGGGCAAACAAGTAGGTATAGAATTTTAGAACCCACGCATATCTGATGGAAGATGCGTAGTGTCTCTAGGATCGCCCACCGTACACTAAATTATTGTACTCTATATCATGTATGCGTACTCTATAACTTGAGTGAGAAGGTTTACTATTTATTATTAAAAATCAAAAATCTTGAGCTACTAAATTTTTGGCAACCAATAGAATGACCAATATTTTCGAAAACTATTCAGTTTCCACCATGGGATAGATAAATAATTTGTTTTATCTTTTATCGTTATAGAAAGCACTCTTACCGTCAGTTGCATGAACGTCCATTAAGGTTTAATGACGCCTTTAAGCTCTTATGAATGTCAAATTTGTATGGGTAATGTATCTTTAAACTAATGAAAACATTAATGGTAGTTTGTGCAACTGGCTGTTAATGAAGTGGAAAATTAAACAATGTAAATAACATTTAAGAATAATCAATACCTATTATCTCCTCCACTAGGGTTCATTCTTTCACTATAAATATAATCAGATAGGGAGAATGAGCCATGACCCTCAATGTTAGCCTAGTGCATATTGGAATACATTGTCAAAACATGTTAATTTAATGTAAAAATTGTTTGTCAATTTACATAAAGGCAAAAACACTTGTAGAGGCAAATAACATCATATACCACAAATATAAGTAACCGCTTTCGCCTGATATAAAATATACATTGTGTCTTAAAATAAAAAGAACTGGTTATTCAAGAATTTGAGAATGAACAATGTATGCAAAATAATAAGAATCACAGAACCAGTATTAGAGGAATGTGGTGTGATTCATAGCCAGTGATCAAAAATTGGCACAAACTAGAGACAAGTTGTGACATGTTTATGGGGGGCAGTCTGTTCAGACATGCTGTAACATGTCCAGATTAGACTATAAATATGTGACATAGTAACTATGTTGTATGTCAGCTACAGATCGACCCTAATTCATCAATGACCATATTACATTTGGACTTCTATTTAATTAAAAACAAGGTTTTTTTAGGAAACTTTAGAAAAGTAAAATAACCCACATATTTATGTATGTTTAATTATGCTTTAAGCAGAATTTTGCATTATTGTAAAAGACAATTTCTTTGATAAAAAGAATTTAATTCATAAAGGTTTATCTATTCCATTTAAGGTCCACTACTATCTACATTAATGAAATAATATGAAGAGTTAGATATTTCTTAAAAGAATGAATAACCACATCTTTTTACTGAATTGTGAGTTTACAAAGGCTCATTAATTAATTACATATCTGGTTTATCCTTCTGAAGTTCAAAGTACTAATACTAAAACAAATGAGTTTGCAGTAATGGCCCAAGTTTTGAAGTAGTGACTTGATCTTAAGGCCCATTGTGCTAATAGTAGAACCAAATATTTTCAGTCATCTGTTAAGCTTAAATTTATTTTTACAGATAAAGAAATTTATTAAATGAAACACTATTAATTATTCATAATTTTGTCAATATCAAGAGAATTTTTTGGTGATTTTTTATTTGTGCTGAGATGAGAATGCTGCGCCCTTATAAGGTTATTTGAAGCCTATTTATTAATCTCAAGGCATTTATATTTTTACTTAGTTTTCATTAATATTTGAGCACCCTATGTGTTTCTGATCATTATACCAGTTTAATGTGGTCAAAGAAAAAAATCTAAATACATTCTACTAGTATTATTTCTTTCTGGGTCTAGGCCAAGCTCGAAATCTCTTTATGACAGCTCTAAAAGATAATCAAGTATTGGCCATACCTTAGGAATCTGATTTAGAAGACAACAAAGATGATACTTTTACAAGTCTTGGTCAAAACCTATGTCAATCAGGAAGTTTAGTTACTTTTCCAATTTTGAACTTCTTATGTTACTTTCTTTAGATTAGTTGTAAATTTTATATTAAAATGATGAGTATAGAATGAGCTGAGCCTAAGTTTAATTTAGGGTAGATTTATGTATGCCTGGGTCTGGGACATTGTGACATGATTATTAAATACATGACACAATAATAATAGCTTTTTGTTATATTAACATCCAATTACACAAACATCCATTAAAATGTCATTAGTTTAAAGAAACATTACCCATACAAACTTGACGTTCATTAGAGCTTAACGGCATCATTAAACACCGATGGATGTTTGTGCAACTGCCCGTAAGTTATTAATACCTATTACTTAAGGGATTTCTCAGATTATCCAAACTGCTTTAAATTATATGCTGTGACTCAATGTGCTAAATAGAGAACAAAATATTTTGGAACTGTTTTATTTTCTGACAAGTCTAAATCAAAGTCAAAGTGCACCTAAAATTTGACATCTTTGTTTGTGGATACAGAATTATGATGAATTTTTGATGTGGGCATTCAGGACTAAATTTGTTCTAATAATAGGACTCTGGGTGTTCCTTGCAAGTATCTTTTTTATAACCATGCATAAATGAGATCTATGGTGGAATGAGCTTGCGCAGAAGAAGCCTAATCACTCTTAGTAAGTAACTTTTTTTTCAACAACTAGCAGCTAGTTGTACAAAGGTCCATTAAAAATTTTTCATTAGTTTAAAGTGACATTACCTATACAATTTTGACATTCATTAGAGCTTAAAGATGTCATTAAATATTAATGGATGTTTGTGAAACTGACTGTAATCAACTGAGTAAGTCAGTAATCCCTAAAAGTGAATCTGTAGAATGTAGCAGTTCCAATGTATAGAAGGAAAGAATTTCAATATTTTTCTCATAAAAAGTATTAGTTTTTATATGAATTCCAGTATCTTTGATTTGTTACCATTTTTTATTCAGGATAATAAACAATTGTACAATACAGATTAACAACATGTAACCTTAAAATGTACCACATGACTAATTATACAACCAGCACCATTATCTGGGGATAATATTATGTCATTATGTTATTAATAATAAGAAGCCTCTATCAGTAAACTTTCAACATCATATATAACAAAGATTTTAACACAAGCATATCTAGGAATTTTCAACAGCATTTTTTATTCAGAAAAAGAAACCAAAAACATAAGCTTTGGTTATTTTAGTTCCAGTAGTCACCAAACAGATATGTTACATTCAATGCTTCATTGTGATCATAATGACATGACTTCACTAAATATATAAAGCATATCAATGGTATAGAATTAAACAGCATTTTTGTAAAAACAAAACAATTTCACCCACTTAAAAAGAAAATTACACATGCTGCGTAATCAAAACTTTAACATTCACCTCATATGTTTAAAGAGACTGCATTTTAGACAACAAATTCTATGTTCTGTTTTCTGGATGCATTATTAACGAATTTCCTTAGTAATATAAAATCATTGAAAGCAATAAATGGTAGTGAAAAATTTAATATTTCTGAGCTAAATTACAACAAATTTACTAGTTAAATGTTTCATAAAATTTGCAGTATCATAATCGAACACTAAAATGCATGTAAATCTAGCAAATTATCATGAAAATCAATCACTCTTTAATATAAAGTGTGCTAAGCTCAAGGGAATAAGAGGCTAATTTCATTAAGAACTAACCAAATTCCTAATATAAAATAAAATAACGCAATTTAAATTGGTCTTATTGATTTCAATCTAAAGGGTCAATGATGATAAGCTAATAAAATTCATAAAACGTAGAACCTTGTTTGACATTTTGAATGCTAACAGGTGAAAGTGTACCATCTTACCTTAAAGCCCTAACTCTCTTATAAGGTGGACTAAATGTAGGAGCCTGCGAAGCATTCCTAATTCCATCATCATCATCCAAACTGCTGAAATCCAGCTTCCTAGGCACTATAGAAGCCGGTATGGGGCTCAAATTATCCGAAAACATGTTGAATGATCCTGACATTTCACTTGAAGTTTCAACTGAAAGTTCCGAAGAATTATGGCGATTGTTAAATCCATCTTTCATCCTATACCATTCACTCATGTTTGAACATTCATTTAATACACTTTTAACCACAATAAATCACTGAATTTTAACGTTTTGGACAGCAAACAAAATACACTTTCACAAATCACAAGAATAACGTTATGGCGGATGACGCATAGCACCTGTTTGAGCGTTTAGCCAATTACAGCACTTTATTTGACCGGTAAGACGAATACTCTAATGTCATTGGTAGATGTTATTTTTTTTTAAAGAATCTGGATTGCGTTTGTTATTGGTTGGTGTTATGGATGCGTTCAGTTTATTTTCATTTAACTTTATTAACCCTCATTGAGCGCACCGAAGAAGGCGGATGTAACAAGTTTTCTTTCGGATATAAGGAAACAAAAGAAACGAGAAAGAAACAACAAATGCAAAATTTAAATATCTGTATTTCAAAACTTATTTTAAATTAATTAGACGCAAAAATACAATATCGAATCATAGATTGACTTTGAAAAAAAAAAGATCTTTAATTTTAATTTGGCATATTTGAAGTAATTAAAATAATTATTTTTTAAATAATTAATAAGTTAAGCAATATAGGTATTTATTTATATATTTTAAAAATAATAGTACACATTTATGTTTTAGTCTACCAGGCTGAATAGACTATGTCCATTTGCCATTAAGAAACCCGTCAGCTGTCTCTTTCCTTTTGACATTTATTTACTTTTGATATTGAAAAATTACGAAAGTTAGTGTTTTTGTATTCAAGAAAAAAAAAAGATTTTTCGCTTAAAATGAATAAATTTTTATGTGAATTCTAGACGTAAATATTTACTCTTTATGTGAAATTTAATGAAGATGGTTGTCTTATTATTGGTAGTGTTAAGTATTTTTCTGAAGCCCTGTGTTTACGCGCAACAAAGCAAAGATGAAATCATATTTCATTACAACAATACGTGAGTTCATTTCATAAGTTACTTTAAAAAATATCCTGACAATATTATCTGAATCTAACGAAAACAGTTGCAGATATTTGTTAATAGGTACTTCCCTATTACAATAGAGCTTATCGGTAGGTATGTGTATACTTACTGATCTAGCTTTGTTGTGGTTTTATCATCGGTCTACAATAACTCTTTGTCTTATTGATGAATATTTTCAAAGAACTTGATATTATTTTCTGCTCTACTTAACATATCAACACAGTTCTGTAGTGGAAACTGGTATTGACTTTAATATATATGCTGCTTAAAATCTAATTCACTAATATACCATGACTTATGTAATTAAAACATGTAGTTTTCTTATAAACAATTTTTTTTTTATTAAACATAACTTTCTAATTCGTCATATTCATAGATATCCAGACAACCCCTGAGATATAGTAACTCTATGTTATACTTTTGTTTTATTTTCCAAATTCACTAAACAGTTAATTATTATAGCAAATTGGATTTAAACAGTGAATTTAAAATTGGATTGCAACTACAAAATTTCCAATTACTGCACTGTAACAGTTATTTCATCATCACCAGCTTGATTCCACTGCTGGGGCTGTCCCTGTGCCTTCCCTATGAATACAATTCAAATATGGAGAAATGGGTATGGGCCCATGTGAGGATCTATAAGTGTTAACAACTGCAGATGCAGCCAGTACAGTAGCTTAATGTGCCTTCCAAATCATGAATGAACTTAAGATAATTCATTTTTGATCATTTTTAAAATTGCTTAAGCTCTATGTCAATGCATAGTGGGTTGAATGGAAGTTCAATTGAAGTGATAACAGTGGATATTTAATTTGTTATTGCGAATGATAAATATGCTTACAGATACAAGTACAATGTTCCCTATATGGTGAATGTCAACAAGAATACAGAATACATAATGGAGTTTGGAGGGGTAAGATTTATTAATTTCTAAGGGTTGCTGATTATCCGACTGAAGTTCCGTTGTGCAACACCAGTAATGTAAAGTTAGAAATAACAAATATATATTTTATAATTTACACTGATAATCAATAATATTTGGAAATTGACATTAAATTTCAATTTTGCACACTAAATCAATGATTTGTCTAGTCTGGCCAAACAAATTATATACTTGATGAGCTCGACGGATCTTCTGTCAAATGTGCACCTATTCTCAGTGTTCGGTGCAGTCGCCGAACGCCAGAATTGACTAATTATATGACATTACATTTGACCCTGCATATTCGACGGTAACTCCATTGCAGTCTAACTAACACATAGTTCTGTGAGATGCTTGGCGGATCTTTCGCCGTATTTCAGGTATAATATTATTCAACACAAGCCATTCAAAAGTTTCCGATTTATCTTTTGTTAATAACTATTCGTCATTGCACATCTAGAGATTCCCAAGTTGTACAAAACTGTCCAATAGTTAGACAGTGTAACACACATTTAACTATCGACTATGAAGTTCATAATAAAATTTTGATATTTGCTGTGTACATGGACTTGACAATGTACTTTAAGGGCTAGTTGGTCATACCACAACCACGAAATCTAACATTATAAATAAACATATTGCTTTTTACCCGACTGTGCGACGCAAAGGAGGGTAATGTGTTTATCAGTCTATGGCGTTCTAGAGACCAAATGCGTAGGCCGATTTTGATGATTCTTACGTCAATCGATTCGTCTTAACCTTGCGAGTGTCACTAAAGACATGACAGTAATCAAAATTCACCACAGAGACAACCAGACGCCATATTGTCTAAATGAAAAAATAAATTATGTCAAGTGGGGTGTCGTTGAATGGGTATTTTAAAATCATCTTTAGGTTCCTTTTATCATTTTTTATTTTAAATGATAGTTTAGGATATATAACGATTTCAAGTTGTTTAACGAAACATTCTCGCTAATTTTCTTACTTATTGATTAAAGTTTTTATTTAAAGTATAAACGATATACAAACAAAAAAAAAAACAGTGAAAAAGCATGAAGAACAAATATTTTTGGTAAAAAAATAAAGCATATGTAGCTTTGAGCCGAGTTAGGTCTCAAGAGGGACTAATCATCAGTAGTTTAGACCACCGCAAGTTACTTAATAATCCCCACGATATTAACTCCCTCAATGAAATGACTTAATTGCGAAATTCACCATCTTATTACGAAGTCAACGAATCGTAACTAAAAAGTATAAAATAAAAATAAATAATTTGAAGAAAAACAAAAATCCCGACTGCGTAAAAACGCATTTAAAAAAATACATGAAGAGAATTAACTTAAATAAAAACTAAAAAGAAAGAAACAAGCCCAGTCGTTTAGAATTCTGTTAAGTAATACAGAACAGAACGACTCATAGTCAGGGCCCCTTGGGAAGATTCGATTGGTAAAATTTGAATGGGCCCCGACTATGAGTCGTTCTGTTCTGTCGGGATTTTTGTTTTTCTTTAAATTATTTACAATTCACAATCAAAGTTAAAAAATGCTTAAACTATCTGTAGGCGAAATTACATTATATTCCTTCCAGTCTCTATCTTATAATTATACAAAGTAATGTGCGTGCGCGCAAGTGTGCTTGCGTGTACGTATGCGTGTGCAATTGTACACGCACTCGTTGTGTTTTAGTTGTATAAGTGTCTCGTATAATTGATGACAACAATATGTAATTGTAATTGTTGACTTATTTTGCCCAGCAGGACTTGGAAGCTTACTACACCCCTGCGAGAGTGACTGTTGCGAGTGATTTCGCAAACCGCACCTATCCTCTTTTTATAACAGCACGCCAACAAAAAGGTGAAGTTTTGACTAATTTTAAATAGGAATTAACGACAGTTGAAGGTTTATGATTATTTCTGAATTTCTTAATTAAAAAAATGGGCTATTATCATTAAATCATGATGTATCATATCAACGGATATCGTCGAACCCTGTTGCCTACCATAACTTTTGTTTTAGGTGTTTTCTCGTGGCAGCTCCCGATGCTAGTCCAGACTCCGGTCAGTCTGGAGCAATTCACCAACATATCGAGGACACTGTGTCCACACAATAACCTGTTTTCTGACGACACGGACACATGTGGTAAGTGACACTCAATTCGTTAACTACAGTTGTTTGACGGTAGGTAAAGACGGAATACACATTTGTGTCATGTTGTGTTGTGTCTAGATAGAAGCATAACAATTTGATTGTATGGTTTGAGACACATTTTCATGTTGTGGTGTGTCCCGAAAAATATATCCCTTTTTTACTAATGGCGAACTGGTTGATTAAAGAAAATCGGAATGCACTATAGGTAAATTCATTGAACACGACAAATTTTTCAAAGCTAATTTGATTTCGTGTACTGTTAATAATTAATCTGTCGAAATATTTCCCGCTAGTCGATAACGCATTTATCATTAATCAAGGACGCTTTGATCTCTTATTGAAGCGAAGTGCCTTGATAAAATCCCAAACAATATTAAAATCAATTTATTCAAATATACCTACTTATTTAAAGTACTTTTGAATCGACCGACATTTTTACTTACTGGACGTAAAAAATAACGAGCGGGGAGGGTTTTTTTATTAGAAGTCATTACCAAACAACGTAGGTACTGTGGCAACTTAGTCTAATGGTGGAGGTGGGTGGCGCAATGAAAAAAACTGGTAGAACTTCTCAGTCTTGATTTATTTTCAATTATACTCCGTTCATTATAGCATTGGACAGAAGTTAAATAAGGTTCTTTTTATGGTATACTTTGTGACAAAATATCAATAATCATGTTACTCTTAAGAGTGACGGCTAATTTGCTACATATCGTCGCTGTGCGTTCACAAATCGCTATGTGTAGTGGAGCTACTTTTCAGGAACAACAAAAAACTAGTTTACTCTGAATATATTCGAGATAAGATAAATTACTTTTGTCTGATAAATTTAATAATCTATTAACATAGTTTAAGATCATTATCATTAAAATGACATGTAAAGTAAATTTTCTAAAAAACGAAATGTTTAAAATTTACACATGGCGTTAATTAAATGTGTCATAAATAGTCGTCATGTGCCTGAAGAACACATAGCTACTTTTAAATGACACGGAATTATTATAACTTGCCCTATCTTATAGCACATGGCTATTTAATAAAACTAACTTGTTTAGTTATACAAAACGTTTATTAAGTAATTGAGGGATACAAATGAAAAATTAGAAATAGATCATAATTTTTTTAATAAATACAAAAACAATACAAAACAAAACAAACATTAGTCTTAAAATCAGTCAAACCTAATCATTTTACGTACCTAAGTACAATTTTTGTACTTTGATTTCAGAATGAGATCAATTAACTTAACAAGATGAATTATGAAAGAATGGGTGGTAATCACGATGCATGCAACGATGTTTTAGGCTTTGTAAATGTTTATATTTAGTGGCATCGATTTTCAATGGACCATTGTACAGCCCTGCTGGTTCCGTGTTAAGCGATGTGTTTATTCGTCTTCGTGGCAAAGTATCCCCAGTCATCGGAATGGCGTAATTTATATTGCACTTCACCATTAACATAAATAAGTCCTCTTAAATCTGTCACAGTTGCATCACCAACTCTTCTACCATGTCTTATAGTAGAAAAATTCTGTTCTTTCAAAATCTCTGTATTTTTTTTCTCTGTACGGTGTATACATTATTTTTCTGGCACCAGGCCATATAAATAAAGTACATGCGAGTAAAACATTCGAATGATTCTTCAATGTATGTCCTGGTACTATTTGCTCGACTAATAATGACTTGGTACTTTTGGTATATCATCAAGCCACTTTTCACAGACTCTGACTTAAGATTTGTGTTTGTAAAATGATTAGCAACTGTATCGATTTTTCGGACAATATTATTTTCACCATTCTCTCTTAAATCTATGTTAGATCGAATCCATAGCTGTAACACATCTTTCTTTAAACAACCGTTGCAAGAAAAAGTTCTTTACAAACACGTACCTTCACACCATTCATGCTAAGCAAATAGCAATCAAATTCTACATTTTTTTTGTGCATCGTTAGATGTTTTTCATCGGCGTATGATGTTTCGAGTCTGGCAGTCTTACTTAAATGGACTCACCATTTAAGTAAGACTTTTTTGCTTGCCATGAGGGTAATTGCCAAAAGTATCAAAAAATATCGGTCCGTGTTTCTTCATTAATAGCAGCACAAGTATAGCTTCTGTCCGTTTTTTTAGCAGCTCCATGTCCATAAGGTTTTAACTCTCATTAGTCTACATTAGTCTACCTACACTTCTTCTATTACTGTATTCTCGTCGACTTTCGTAACTTTATGACCTGAATAATTCTTCCCTAAAAGCCTCACCTATTTATTTTTCATTCTCTTTCTTTTTTCCTCCAGAACAACGATATCTTCCTTAATGGTACTATTATTGTTTTCCTTTTCAATGATAGGTTCAAAACAACCAGTTTTATCGTTCAGGTAAAGCATTACATCAGAAGAATCTACAAACTAACTATAAGCCATGTGGTAATATAATATGACTCATAGTTAGTTTGTAGTTCTAAGCAACATCCAATTGATCCTATAATAGTTGTTACCACAACAACTATTATACTTCAGTTTGAGTTGCACCTGTTATTCCTGTGATTGATTCCTGACTAGCTGTCGTAATAATATTAGTGAAATCGGCAAAAGTATTAATAGCATAATCTGTATTTTCACATAAGTTCTCCCTTTGGCCTGTTGTAGTAGGTGGATATAATATTGACGATTCTTCTTCCAGCTCTAAAGCCAGTTCACGTATCGACTGTTGTGGATGTTTGCATAACGATACAAGACGTTTAGTTCTCCAAAACCTAGGCATTCTTGTTGTTAATCCTAAAAGAGCAAAAATAAAGGATTAGTTAAGCAATTAGCGTTAGGTAAAACGCCTTATGTTTGTTTTTATACTTGAAATTATTATAATACTAGAAGTATGAGGCGCTAAGAAAACAAGGCACTCCGTTATGATTAATAAATAAGATTAACAAAATATTTTAATCTCAGTAAACCCCGCGGTGGGAAGTTTAGTTTCTAACACAAGCAAAGCTACGAGCGTAAACTTTAAACAATTATGGTAACCAGTACCAGTTTATTACAGTTTTAATGCATTCACCAACTAAACCAAAGCAACCCAAAATTAACTCAACCTTAAGTTAATATAAAAAATAATATGACACAAATTATTGATTTACTTACTTGTAGTGATCTCAACTCGTAAAAACAATCTCGTCCAATCGCGTACAACAATATCGCTATGTGTCAAACTGACATACGTTCGATCTGAACTGAAACTTGTCCAATCGCGTACAAAAATATCGTTATGTGTCAAACTGACACATAACGGGCGCAGTTGATGAACATGATTGAATAGTGAATTTCTATAGTTATGTGATTTTAGGTACTTAGTGATTTTTTAGGAACATTCAATGTATGAACGTCACATAACTATTTTTTATAACTTCGTTATTAGTAGTTTTATCACAAAACTGTTTTTACACCTTACGTGTAATGATATAAGGGTCAAAATTATATAAAAAACCAAAAATTAAGAAAAATCACATAGCGAATTTTGCAGGCGCAGCGACGATATCCACTTAAATACCAGCTGCTATACTTAACTGTTGTCATTTAAGCTATCTATTTAACAAATTTATGAGTATTTGACTAACTTAAATGATTTAATAACATTTACAATAAAAAGTGTTCATCATAAAGAACCTAAAGAAGCGGGGTTGGATAGTTTCGGCACGATTCTCATATCACTATAATTCTACCAAATTTAAAACGGTGCCTAATCCCTCCAAACGTTTCGGCAGTACAACTTTTTAATTTTGTCAGACATGATGTATTCATAATTGTCAAAATAAGTAATCTGGGATTTTTTTTCTGCCATGTTGTTTTGCCGTTTTCCGTTATTAAGTTGTTATTGTTTTATTTCTGTTTTGTTATAGTTTTGTTTTGTTGTCAAGTTAAGTTTTGTTAAATATGGACGATGCCGGTGCAGGCCCGAGAGGACTACAACAATTACACTTTAAGCCCACGTACCCTCATGCCCACGTATCCTCAACCTTTGACATTTCAGGAAGTTTTTCCAATTTCTTCATCAATAGTCTAATATCTGAGTAAATTTTATATAGGTAATAATAAAAAAATCCTTTTGTTTATCTTTCTTTCCTGGGCATAGATATAACTAAATTCTATTTTAATTATATACACTTACTTACTTAAAATGCTGGCCCCATCTCAGCCCCGAGGTATCATAAAAAATGGAAAATTGCCCAGCTCTTTCAGACTACAAAAACGTTCAAAGTTTCAATAAAACTATAATATTTATTTTTTAAATTTATCTTGAAAATAAAATGTTCTGCACTGCTGCTTCTATGACTCTCTTTTTTCTAATGTTATAATGAATGGAGTATAGAATTACATTAGCACACTTACAACCAAATACTATGATGCTCACTCTAAGCTGGCCTCGATCAGAAAAGAAAGACTATTCACCAGCAAAACATGAACACGCGAATTCGAGTATGAAAAAGTAATAATTTAAAATATTAACGGCCAGCACTTCAGACCATAAACCGTCCGAAGAGTAAACCCTACCTATAGTAATGTGCACGGACGTTACAGTACCATTACCACCTAGACTTGAGAATCGAATCCGGGATCTCGGTGAAGGCGACAACTTTCGGCGTATAAATCGCTCAGTCACGAAGGTCGTTACCAATCGTCACGGTTGAACAACTTTCGCAGAATACATACCGATTATGGATGATTACATCTTCCTCTTTGTTAGTATAACATGTTTAGTAATTACATTTAAACGCTTGTATCAATTATAATCTCTGGTTTTTGCATTAAGTGTAAAGCTGATTCAATGTGAACCTATTACAAAACTTGGTTGCCCTTGCTGCTACCATTACTGATACAAGTAGCACCACAGGTTGAAATAATACCTTTATGCTACCAAGCAATCTAGTACACAACACGTCACGCTATAAAAAAAAATACAATTTTCTCCCCTTGATTTTAAACCTTAATACAATGTAGTTAGAGGACAAAATTGGTTAAGTATAATTGTCATATTGTGATAGCCTGACGTACAGCCGTGTCCACGGGAAGTATTTTTTACCTACATGGCGGCTACGATTTAAGCAATTTGTAATATTGGGCGTTTACACCCTGCGATAACGACACGACACGATTCTCAAATATCGTTATCTCGGACAACAACGATATTGTTATGTGACACGCTATAACAAATAGCTGACTAGTAGTTAATCGATAGTAACCGCGTGATTTCAAAAGTGTGATAGAATATTCGAAGTATCAATTTCAGCAGTGAATAAGTTACATTTGATTTGTCTTTTATATTTACGAGGAAAACTGTCGTCATCCGATATCGACACGACAGCATCTGGTAGTGTTTGTATTTAGCTACAAGTTCGACGATATCGTGAGGTTTCCGTCTAATGAGAGTACACCCATTGTCGCAATGTGGTAACGCACAATGAGACAGATGTTGGCATTACGATACGATTTGATTAAAAAACTAGTTTATCCTTACCCTTAACTGTAAAGTCTCATATTTATCTATTTCCGTATTGTAAAAAAGTATAATTACGAGAAAAAATTGGTGAAATGGTTAATTTTTGAGATAACATTATAATTTGTTCCATGTGGACAATTTTATAAAATAGCGTTTTGTGTTGGACTGTACATAAAGGGGGTGGACTTGAGAAAGTTCCGATCATTCTAAACTAAACAAGATGTAGTCTACTACTCGCAACAAGATAAAATTGAAATGTGTATGAATTATAAAAATATAATGTCAAAAGTTTTTGTCACTTGCCCGTGCGTAACGTACACTCCAACGATTTTAAAAAATCGGACCATAATAGTTTTTTCATTTATAAATTAATTTAGAACGACTGATTTATGGATTAGGCAGTCTCTTAAGCTACAATTAGCGAGAAATATGATTTAACCATTTCAAATTCAATCACCGTTTATGTGAGTTTTAAATATGACATTAATATGTTGCTTTAATCGTTCTAAAAATATATTATGGATTTAGTTTATTAAGAGTCATAAATCAAAATAAAGCACACGATAGAAATACAAAACCCTTTTTTTATTTCAAAAGAAATGAGATCATAACGGCTACAAAAAGAAACACCTAATCATAATTTAATTTATGTTAATAAAAAAATATTCGACCTGCTAGCTGCCGCCGCTTAGTGATAAGTTTATATCATGCAAAGGAATGAAATCACCATAGGCAGCATTTCTTCTGCTGCCATCTAGTGTATAAACAAACAAAACAAGGGCAGCCACAGTTAGCGCGGTGACTAGTTTAGGAATCTTAATTAAGACCGATATTATTTTAAACGTCCTTCTATAAACGATCCTATGCAACTGGACAAAGGTTCAAATCTCGTAACAACATCTACTCTGGCCGCATTAGCATCCGCTCTTCTTAGTAAATCATACCTCGCTGCTATTCTTCTTCCTAAATCTTCGTCAATCCAACTGAACATCGTAATGCCTCTCTCCGTTATCTCTGTATCTACAGTTCTTAAAACATCACCGATGTTGTCAGCTAGTCTTTGTCTAGACGCGTCGTCTCTCAGTATGTAGTTATAAAAGAACCATGCTGGAGCAAAATCAATGACATTATGTTCACAAATAAACAATTTTTCACTCGGTCTACTGGGATTAACATAAGGTACGGGTCCATTAAATGAATTAGGGAAGAAACTTGGAGCGTCACCCATATTGTCTCTTACGGGCGGGTCACTATCGCGGGTGTAAGTCAATTGTTGCTTAGGCAGATTCACATCAATTTTATTATGATTTCTTCCTAAACGATGGTTTTGTGTGTCGCGGTACGCTAGTCTACGACCCCTGAACATTGTATCTACAGGTCCGGGAATACCCGGTACAACATTCGCCGGATTGAACGCGCTCTGTTCAGCAGTGCTAAAGTGGTTGTCTATATTCTCATCCATTACCAGTCGCCCTATGGTCACCGTTTTATATGTTCCCGTTGTCCATATACGAGTGACATCAAATGGATTGTAATTAAGCTTTTTTACGTCATCGTAACTCATGATATCCATTTCCAGTCTCCAAGATGGATAGTTTTTGTTGGCGATTGCGTTGTACAAATCTCTGGTGAAATATGTCGGGTCCTGAATCGAGATCGCCACAGCTTGCGCCGTCGTCAGATTAGCAAGGCCCAATTCTGTTCGGAAACTGAATTTAGCGAAAAATCTTTCACCTTGCTCGTTGTGTAACTCGTAAGTGTGTATAGGGAAGATATCCATTCTTCTGTAGCCGAGGGGTATGCCGTAATCGGACAACCGCCACATGATCGCGTGGACACGGGTAGGTCTCAGTAGAGCGAAGTCCACATTCATGTTAGGATCTGGGATGTTAGTCTTAGGGTTCTGTCTCGTGGATCGAGCGAAGCTCGCGAAGTCTAGCGGGTCGCGGTAATCGTAGACGGGTATGTGCACACACAAAAAGTCCAAATTGCCTTCTTTAGTGTACATTTTAACAGCTAGCCCTTTGTGATCCCTTCCAAGTTCGTTGCCATTTATGCTGGACCTAGCGGTTGAGAATCGTCCGAAGACAGGTGTCTTTTTCCCTATGCCGTTGAATACATCGGCGCTTGTATACTTTGAGACGTCGTTGGTTACCTCAAAGTAGCCGTAAGCTCCGTGTCCTTGAGCGTGAACTACACGCTCGGGGATAGGCTCACCGTCGAAATGTGTTAAGGTGTCTGAGAAGAATTCGCTATTGAAAATATCTGAATTCAGCGTTATAGTGTCTCTTATGTCTACTGGTACACCGGCTTCTGTTGTAATGATTCCTATTGGTTTCTGAAAAAAAAAAAAATGTATTTAAGTAAACGATGTTAAATGTAAATCTTGCATAGACCTTGCACACTCGACGGAAGACCCGTACTCACGATTGCTTAAAGTTTAATGGGCCTTCCGTTAAACAATTTAGTAATATCTATAAGTTTCAACTTTACGATGCAAAACTGAAATGAGATATGAGCAAAATGAGTTCAATTTTCATCCATTTCAAACGTTTCGTAGCTTTACTTTGTGATGTAAAATATCTAAGAGAAATCCTAAGACTATTTTGCATATCTATAATAGCTTAATCTGATAACACTTTCTCATAACTCCTGTGAGAGGGCACATTGATTTTTCACTCACTACGAAATACACTGTACAGAACCAAATGTTACAGAGCAAGGCATTTCCACACTTTCGCTTTCTTCATATGCATAATAGGGATGACGACTAATTTTTATTTGTTTGTCCGTCAAGTAGAGTGTTGAAAAATAATAAACACGTATTTTTTTATTTTTTTCGTAATCATAAAATTACGGCGTTACATGGAGTTGAAATTTCGCATGACGTCACGTTATGGTACGTTTTCTACAAAACTGTGACGTAGCGAGCCCCCACTCCTCAACTTTAATGCCTGTTATCTAAGCTATTTCTCGTTAAATTGAAGTAAAAAAAATGCATATCTAATATTTTTCTATTATCTGACTGACGAACTAAATAGAATTGCATTTTTTTTACCCAGTTGTCAGCCCTATTTGATCATAGACGCTCTTACGTCATTGTATCATCACATGCTCACATGCTCTACGGTTTTTGTGACTTTCTGTCATCACTTTCCGATAATATGCGGTCAATGTGGACCTTGATTTTGCTAATAATAACATAATAATGGCACTTTAATGGCGTTTCAATTAATTGTATTTTTTCACTGCATTATTCACCTAACGTCCAATATTATTAGTGCAACTGCAACGGCTCTTGATGAAACAATGGTGACAGATTGTTTTGTTATTTTGCATTATAGTGACAAGAACTGTGTCACAAATATAAAAATTTACATATTTTGTTATTGTTTCTTTAGGTGTAAAGACCACAAACGTGACATTAGCGGAGTTGTGTAAACGCAAATAAGCCATGAATTAAAAAGAAGACAAAGATGGTTTTAAAACGACATGCTATAATTACAATAACATTCGCTAAATTGAGCCTTTTATCGTCAAAAATATATATAATTTTCTTTTCAATAATCTCGTTTATGTGTCTTACTTTTTACGATGCATATAACCGGTTCCTTATTATATTTGTGTTAATAATACGGCAAGGTTATTTCTTCCTATATTGTTATTGATATAATTACTCACTGGATGTGCATCTTTGAACTCTCTTAACTGTCGCGATGCTCTATCTATGGTGACATTACTGTATCTATTATAAGCTTCACTGATTTCCCATCCCTGTACCAAGATACAGCACACGAACACCGACCACGTAACACGCATCATGAACTAAATAAAAAGGATGTTTGCTAACAATACTTTATATACCGCCGATAGGTCGAACCAGTGATGCGTTAAGAATATTTGAAACTCATAAATCATAAACGCTTTGTTGTATCCTCCATGTTGTTTATCTACGAGTTACATATAATTCATTCAACGTGTTAATTATGGTCCACATAATACCGAAGTTTTGCAGGAAATAGATTTTATGTAACATTCATTTTTTAATTTATAAGAACAAAAGAGTTTTTGAATGATCTGGAAATTTAGATATTACTTGCTTTTAAAGTAATGTGGAGTTTGAATAAAGACTTCTTATCGCTCCCTTTTAGTCATACAAATTATATTGACATTGAAACTCAAACCATTGTTGGGAGCTTTCGAACTAAAACCTTTTAATCTAATAACTCTTACAAGGTCAAGAAAATTCGCGAGCACTGCCGTTTCCGTTCCAAAAATCAATACATTTACATTTTTTGCATGTGTTGTGCAAAGATTTCTCTTAGAGAATTTCTATTGCCGCATATTTAAATCATTAATCAATAATTATATTTAATAATGAGCGCCCTGAGCCTTGAATATTAAATAACTACTTACATTAGCAATAACTACAATGCCTTTTTGTTTTCAGTTCGCTAAATTGTAGATAATAAGAATGATAAATATTACATTCAATGTTATCAAACGTGTATGTTAATATGGACATGCCCCAAGGGCTTGCGGTTTTAAAATTGGTTATGGTTTAACTAATTAAACTAATATTCATTTGAAATTTAATTAATGTAGTTCGTAATCAAATCGACCGATGGGTCACTAAAAAGTGATATCAAGAATTCAAAATGTGTGCTGGTTAAATGTTCAGGATGACAATGTTAAACATAATTATTAATATCAAAATATCCGCTATATTAGTATAAAATTACTTTGATGTTCAACTTCGAAGATACTACAATAAAAAGCTATATTTATTTATTTAAGGTACTGCTGTACCTGTTGTTGCTACAACTACACATGTAACTAATTTCCAATATATTTCAAATCTATTTCAGTACTTTATTTCTGAAAACAATTAAGCTATTCATCCAATTTAAAATACAGATGGAAAGAAAAACACAAATGTAAAATGTATACAAATCATAATTGTAAACTGAAATCTACGCAAAATTCTTTGAACAAAACGAAAACGCAGTTTAGTTACAAATAAACGCCATCTAGTGTAGCAAAGCTTAACATTTTTCTTACTATATTTTATTTCAAATCAAATTATTTATTCGCCATTAACTTAGAAAGTTACACTCGGTTAGTCTTTAACCGACTTCAAAATTGAAAAGAAGGAAGTTGTTTGTTCGACGGTGATGTATATATTTTATATAATTTATATTAAATACTGAGTTCTCTGCATGATTTAGACCTTAGTATTTATAAGGTCTAAAGCATGCAAGTCAAATCATTATAGGAATTAGAGGTGTGTCAATCTTTACTGAATCGACTCGGTGAGTCGGTTCAGCGAAATTATATATGACTGATCCCAAAGTTTGCCCCGAATAGATTAGTGGCACTCACTGACATGAATGAACTGGGCAGACCTGAGCGACAGTTCGGAAAGATTCGGACGACATCGAGTCGCGTGTCGGTAACAAATGAGCGCACTTGTTGGCCAGCTAGCGACTATATTTGTTTATTTACTACTTTTGCTTGACTTTTGTTCTGGAATCGTGAATTATGATCAAGTTTAGAATGTAAAAACCGATTTCATCATGAAATGAGTAAAATACCTTAAGCCGGTGTATAGAACAAACTGTACGAACATTACGAAAATGGTGTAAATAGTTATTTTGTAGTGCAAATTGTTAGTCCTAAGCTTCAACAAAGCATGAGGGAGAATCAATTTGATTTTAAATGTATTTTGAAACTTTTTAATATAATAAATAAAAAGTGTTATTTTGATTTATACGAGTTCTTGGTATGAGAATCTATTATTTTATTATAATTTTCAAACAAACATTCTATATCAAAGCCAATGAAAAGATTAAGTACTTACTCTCTGCTCTTAAATCTATCTGAGAAACGATGCATGATGCAAATGAGCCAAATGAAGCATTAATTGATTTGGATCTTTGCACTGATTCAGATACGAATGATCTAATCTTTAGAAATACCCTTTTTTAACAATTAAGTTAAGTTTTTTAAAAATGTCTATTTTTATTTCTATGTTATTGAACTCCAGAATTGCAGGCATATCCATACTATAATAACGTATACTAATACTTTGCACATATTTTGCGATCACTGATAATGATTCTTGCATCCGACATGCTTAGAAGTTATGCAAACAATGTTTGTTTCTCAGTATTGTACTTGATGCAGATTCGATATTTCTCGAATTTAAATTCTTTATGTCAGATTAGAAAAGCGATAGTTTTATAGTAAATGTATCATAAAGCCAATTAGAGACAACATCACATTCATTGCTCAGATTACAACAAGGCTAGCTAGCACACTCGTATTATGGAGTATTTGAAACAACGAATATATTATGTACTAACAATTTAGTTAGGCACATGTTTTTGGGAGGTGGTGCTTTTCAATAAAGCGATTAAGTTTCATTCATGTAGGTTACCACAACAGCTTATATTTACACAGTTTAAACTTTACCCTCAATGCTTTAAGATTTCAAATTAACTGTTAAGTTCTACGCCTACGAATGAATATAACAGCTAATCCTAATAGAAGACCTATTATATTACATCGAAATCAAAATTCCTCTATTTTCGAAACGCTAATACGATTGCAAAGTAACGCATTTTTCGATAATTTATGATGTGACACTGTCTCTGATGCACAGATAATTTTCACGAAAATTATCAAAATTATTCGGAATTTGCGAATTTTCATGTGAGGACAATTGGAATAAGATCGTGAAGTGTCGTGTTAATTCGTACATTTTAAACGTCGTGTTTCGGCTTTCGTACGTTCACTGCCCAATGAGGATTGGTCTGTCTAATCTAGACTAGTCCTGATTGCTCAAATTGTTCAAACTAACGTTAAGAAGCCGAGATACGATTTTCGAATAGATAAAGTCGTAACTGTAGACTACATATAACTTAGAATTTGCCATCAATTTGATATAAATAATGTAGTAGTGTTATCCACTCCAACCCTGGTTGACTATAATTCTAGCTACTGATATATCACATGTTTGAATATTGCCATGTTCTTCTTAATATATATTTCTCTTTCTGTTCACGCCTCCTAGTCAGTGGGAAGTGGATTAAAGTCTACTGTGGGCCATTAATACGTAACTAACATGAATTATATATATAATAATAAATTATTTTGAATTCAGGTTGTGTTAACACATCTGTCAATGTTTAATACTGGCAGGCGATGTTTGTATAATGTATTATAATTTCTTAATTTTCTTTTCAAAAGCAAGTGAGGCAAAATATTGTTAAAAATAATATATTCATGATTCATCAAATTCATAATATAATATTTTGGACAACATGTATTTATAAAAGAGTGTACAAGAAGTTAGGAATGCAATTGTTTCTTTTTTGCTTTTTGAAGGTAGTAAGATTCCTTAAAATATCTAAAAATGTCTAACTTCATATAAATAACTTTTAATTGAATTTTCTTTTAAATAAATTTCTCATCAATCAGTAACTTAATTTTTATTTGTTTTGTATTCATTACTAAATATATCTTATTATACAGTGGAATTTCTTGATTAAGCATTTAGCATTACTAAATAAAATAGTGTAAGAGAATGAGTGTATTAATTACACTCATCTTAAAATTTTATTTAGTATTGCAAACGATAAAGGACCTAATATACTCTCACGGAGACATGATATTACGTCGTACTTAAATAATCTTGAAGGTACATTGCCTATTTAGAATCTTTGTTAATCACAGGATTGCTACCATGTCTTGTATCTATCGAGTCCCCGATATTTTGGGGCTGTTGGTAGCTCCACGATCCGAAGTCCGCGGTTGGATGTTATTGGCAGATCGATAAATAAAAGGTACACGATAGCAATCCTAAATATTAAAAAGTTTAAAAGAACATCGCCTCGTCTCACGTAAACATTGGCAGATGTATGACGGAACCTCTTTAGCATAATAAACTTCTTTACAGATATCTCCTCGGTCAACACGCCGATAGTACACCTCACGTCATCCTCCCCCGACGACATAAGAGTCACGATCGTGGTGGAGACCGTCCAAGATTTCTACATTAAATTGAACTCTATAACCAATCTGACGAGCACGCCCAGCCAACCGAAATATTATTTCTACCCGTTCGATCAAGGTCCAAACAGAATGATAGATTTGAACACGCAGACGGTTAAGAGGAAGCACATGTGCAATGAGAAGCTGGAGGAGTTTGAGGAGAGGACACTCAAGAATTATTGGAAGAACAATCAGTACAGGGACGATGATTGGTTGTGGCGACCGAAGAGTGTTATAGTGATGATAGAATCTGATGATGACATTTGCGCCGTTGTTTCTATACAGAATTTCTCGGTGAGTGAATACGTGAGGAGTACTTAAGTGTATTGAATACAGCAAACTTTGAATTTGATTTAAAATTAGATATAGATAATAAAAAAGCTGTTCTAGTTAAAGACAACTTTACTTTCAGTGTCCAGTCTTCGATAATGAGAGAGACATACTGTATGATGGTTATTATTTAACTATGACACGACGTGGAGGCATAACGTTGACTGTGAGTCAGTTTTCAACAAAATATAATATGATAAGAAAAAATAAGTTTATTGTATTTAACAATGTTGTGTTAGAGTCTTACTGAGATTTTTTTTTTTGTTTTTTGTTTGCACATATAATCGGGACCAATTTCTAACTTTGCCAATTAAAAACACTGAGGGCGTAGTTAGTGCTCATAAATTCTTGGTCACCCATCCGGTTACCAATCTCGGTGGTAGTTGCTTATACTCCATAATTGCAGACAGAATTCGAAATTGTGACGCTCTTTTCATACTATTATGTTTATGTTTATTACCATTGACAATATAACTCTTAACAATAACTTATTAACAATAAAACTCTTGTTCAACAGCAAGACACATTTCCACTTGGTTTCTACATAGTATTTATAGTGAAGACCTCGGACGATGACTGCAGTGATGTCACAGTCACCAACACAACCCTGCCCAAGATGGCGACATATTTAGGGTGGGGGGAGGAGAAAGTTCTCTATGTACCCGCCAACGATGGGAGAGTAAAGCATTTCAGGTATTCTATTCAGTATTATTTTTTCAGTCCAGGCTGTTACAAAATGTCGAACATCATTGCTTCGTAAATCTACGAAGGGTGACCTTGTACTGAAGAGAACCGGCTGAAAACTCAGCAAGGGCTGCTTTTTTCTTCGTTTTATTTTATACAGAGAATTCTTATAGAAAAGCGAATTCAGAAAGAATTAATATTATGACTTAATATTGATACGACAAATAACATTGATATGAATTGATTTTTTACAGCTTCAAGATTATCGAGACTATATCGTACAGAGAGTACGCTATAGCGGCGGGGGCAGCTTTGGCGTTCTTCTCCTGTTTTTATATAGGATTCCTGATAGTGGTCCTGTGTCAGTGCAGAAATCGTTGGACCAGACTTGTAGATGACGCTAGTGGGACAGAAGGTAAAAACAATAACATAACAAAACTACCTTACTTCAGTTGCGTAGCTACTAAGGGGCTAGGCGGGGGGCAGTGCCCCGGGGCCCTCAAGCTCAGGGGGCCCTCGAATCTTTACCAGAAAATCTCAATCGAACTCATCTTTTGAAAATTTCTCCCATCCTCAAAATAAAAATGACAGTTGACAACTCGAGTTTAGTCATGGAAACTCAGTTGTCAGTAATTCCAAAGTTATAATTAGGTACCCTCCTTTGCGTCGCGCAGTCGGGTAAAAAGGGAATTCCCGTAAATTATTTGTGTGGGTTGACAGTGTTATTAATGTTTTCATCAATTTGTTGGAAATTAGTATCTGCATATTATTATTTATCGATATGCGTTTTTGTGATTCGCGATTGTGAACTTCGAGTCAAGATTTTTTTTTGAGAATGGTTAAAAAGTTATTGTATCAGGAGTTTTTTGTACTGGTCCATACAAAAGTTCAATTTTATTTGATTGTAGTCCGTCAAACCGTCAAATGTAGTAACACTGACGGCGATAAAGTGTTTGCCGGGGATTCCCCAACGACGCCTTGTATCGTATCATTTTCATTCATTCACGTTTCGCTTTCCTTTTACTTGTAACGTTGTCAGTGAACAGTGAGTACCTACTTGAGTACAATCTTACATAAATATTGCATAAATAAATTAGAAAACTAATATTATGGACAAAAAAAAAGAAACCCGGTGGTGCATTTAAACACAAACAACGCCAAGAAAGAGGAGAAAGTAAACAAAAATTGCCCAAAATTGACAAGTTTTTTAGTCAGCCTTCTGCAAGTACTTCTGGATCAAATATTTCTATTGATAATTTTTGTAAATAGCTTGCATGGCGATAGGTTAAATAACAGTAAACTGGTGCAACGTATCTATGATTAAATAAATATATAATAAACCCTTGAAATTTTTTTATTTCGTTTTATTGCCCAATACCTACACCAAGTATAAAAATAATTGTAATTTATGTTGTTAGTGTTTAATAGTTTTATTACCTGCCTATGCACGAAAAAGAGGTGATGATAAATTTATATGTATATTTAATGATTTTTCTTCAAAAAACCTTACCAGTTTTGATAGCAGTGGGCCCCATTTTTTTATTTGCCCCAGGGCCCTAGATTACCTAGCTACGCCACTGCCTTACTTACCGAAATATATGTGGCTCTCGGGATATTGATTACTTAATTGTTGAAGTTTTAAGACAAATGTTCACTGGTTAAGTAATCAATGTGCTACTCCACTCGTTAAATAAATAACTATTACCCTATCAGTTTGAAAAGTAGCAATTTTCAAGATCTAATCGGCTTCTATCTACTGAATGTATTGATTCATCTTTAAATTCAACGTCAGGCCAGCATGTGCCAATTGAAAATCAGCGTCAGATTTTTACTAATCTTCCTCAAAACTTTTACGATATATATTTCAACAAAAATAATCTTCCGATACCGGGAATCGAACCCGAGCCTCCTGGGTGAGAGCCAGGTATCCTAGCCACTAGACCATATCGGATTGTAATTTGTATCCAAATATTAAAATATAATATACGTTCTTTATTTCAATGACTCCCTGAATAAATATATGTAGTACATAATACTTTTTATAATTTTAATAATAATAATTCCTAAATATTTTATTTTGTTTTTTAAATTTGCACTTACAATGTCATTTGGTAAATTCCCCTCTACAGCATCAGGAACCTGATAGTAAGCTAAATTGGCTGCCTATTCCGGTGTAGCCGTGAGATGCATTTGAATATATGTATAGCAATAATATGATGCCTGCTTTATGGTACCTTACTTTCGTTCATAATTTCATCAGAAGGTCGTATTACACCCATCGAGGCTGACCCGCCTACGGTTCGACGGCGACGAGTCACAGACATGAGCGGCAGTGGTGAATCTTCTCTTAGACCTAACGAAGCCAACGGCAGCTTTTCACAGTCACAAACTAACTCACAGCCGACTGGTGAGTGCGTTTACTGCGATAAACAAATATTACTAGTCGTATGAATTAACTTGACACCCGAAGGCCTATTCTGTAATTTCGAAAACGAAATTTTGTATATTTTGAAATACTAACGAATTTTCGGATAATTTATGATGCACCGGAGTAGTAACCTGACACTGCCTCTGAATCACAGATAATCTTCACGGATATGATTTTAACAAAATTCTAAGAACGATTTGAAATTTTCCGAATATTCTTTGGAAGACGAATAGAATATACCCTCAGGTGTCCTCTCAATTCGTACAAGTATAGTTTGTTTGCGAAATTATTAGTGAATTACTTGTTATACCATGAATTTAAGTTTAGTATGTTTATATATAAGTAACTTTTTTACTCGTAAATGAGTATTTACGCTTCTAAATGAAATTATGCTATTTAATCTATAGTTGAATGCAGCTCAGCATCAGACACGGAATCGGAATTCTCAACACTTGACGACAAAAACACGGATAAGGAACTTTATCGGCTCGGCGGAAAACTATGCGTCGCCAATCTCGCCAGGTGAGCAAAAATTTAACGTTTATTTAACAAATTCATTAATTAGAAAACGTTGCCTGTCCTTAATAGTCTACCGTAAAATATATGTCGGCGCATCGATTGTACCACGATAATTCGATATTGATTCCTAATCGAGAGTGAATTATTATTCACTCTGGTGAAACGTTAGACGGTCGGCCATTATGTCGTGATTGTTTGATTAGAGGCGATAGAGGTCGGACGTCATCGACGGAGGGCGTGTTTATCGATACTTTTAATTTTATTAGAATGGTAACACTGACTTTGACAGTTCGTTAACAAAAAGCAAGTTGCCGCCATTTCGACAGACATTCTGTTTCCGATCGTCGAGGAGTAAAGACATCCGACGACATCACGCTGATCTCGTTATATTTTCGTATGAAAAGTAATAGATTGGAATAAGTCCACAGTCCTCCGATATGGACGATCTATTTGGTCTTCGTAATAGCCCCCTGAGACTACCCGCCGACATATATTTATAAAGAAAAAATGACTTATATTTGAAACTCATATACTAAGTGTAACTCGAGTCTTTAAATTTTGGGATATTACGTGAAAATAGATAATAATAACATTTTTTATAAGAAATATTGGAATATTCATATTGTTAAAAAAAAAAATCTAATAAGAATTTTATGTCTTTCTCTTATATAGATGTCGACCTCGAGTATTATCAAATCGATCTAACATGTACTTATGGAACGTTCTAACCGTGATGGTGTTCTACACCCTGCCTGTTATACAATTGGTTATCACTTATCAGCGGGTAAGTTTGTGTCTTTTGGGTTACATTACGCATCGAAGGTCAATAAAATAAATAATAGTCCTAATTAAACTGTGATGATGTCTTGTACTTTAATTATTTTGATGATATCATAATAATTTCTTTCAAATATAAATGATATGTGACTGTACTGTGGGCTATGCTCAATTCATTTCAGATACGAACATAACAGTAAACGAATATATATGTTTCAGCTACTAAACCAATCTGGAAACCAGGACTTGTGCTACTTCAACTTTCTATGCGCGCATCCACTGATGTTCCTATCAGACTTTAACCATGTTTATTCAAACCTCGGCTATGTTCTTTTGGGTCTTCTGTTCTTGGTGCAAGTCTGGAGAAGGCATAAGAACCATCGTGAGAAAACACCAACTCAGGTATTGTTTATATAATGTACAAGTGTCGTGAGTAAAAAAATATAGTCGCTGTTCAGTAGCTCAGTTTATTTTTGGAATTAATAATATTTAACTCGAGTTATTGACGAAGTATGTTTATTTAATATCGCCGAGAAAGCGGTTAATGCCAAAATGACTACAGATATTTTGCTTAGATGCATTGTGGCAACAAGAAGTGATTGTTGTAATAAGTCAGCGAGTTATGATTGAGCTTTGTGTAATTTGTCCGTAGAAACAGCTGGGCATACCTCAACATTTCGGTTTGATGTACGCGATGGGGGTAGCTCTGGTGAGCGAGGGAATATTGTCTGCTGCGTACCACGTTTGTCCGAACAGCATGAATTTTCAGTTTGGTGAGTATTATTGTTATATAATAATTATAATAAAAAGCGATAATGACAAAGGGTACAACGACGCCTTTGTTATAGGGAATATGTTATATGTATTCGCACCCTCGGTGCGACACTGTCACTTTTGCAAAAAATACAAAAAATAGTTAAATATGTAATAATTGTCCTAAAGCACCCCTTTACTTGGTGCGATAATGTTACTTTTGTAGATGAATCATACGGAACTAGTTCCGTATGATTCATCTCATTTGTATCTTCTAAAGTCATTGTTTTGTGAGGTGTCAGAGTTTAAAACTCTTCTCCTGAAAAACTAAATTTTTGCATAAGTGACAGTGTCGCACCGGGAGTGCGATATGTATTTGATTCCAAATAAAGGCTATTCTCAGTCTAAAACTGATAACAAACACCAGTAAATGTAGACAAACTGTCCATCGTAGTCATAAATCTACTTTGGCAAGTCATAGATCCGAATGTCACGTGTACTGAAATTTGCAAAGGTTTTACTTCGTTTTTTTTCTTCGTTGTCTTATTTTACACAGACAGGTCAAATTGAATGATCGCTCAAGTTTAACATTGAAGTAATATGTATAATGTAGATACGTCGTTCATGTACGTGACGTCGGTGCTGTGTATGGTGAAGATCTACCAGTCGCGGCATCCGGACATTAACGCGCGCGCGCACGCGACCTTCGGAGTGTTGGCACTCATCATATTCATTGGTAAGTTGGCGTTGTTTTCAATAGGATACTTTTGGCAATGATAAATATGTCACTAAATTCCACAAAACTATATCGAAATAAACACATTCTGATTCGAGTATAAAATCGTAGGATTATTGTCATCACCAGCCCTTTTACGTCCCCACTGCAGGGGCTCAGGCCTTCCTTATGGATGGTTAAGGAGGATGGGCCATGACCCGCCACGCTGGCCCAATGCGGATTGGAGGGTATTAACGACAAATGCAGCCGGGACCAACGGCTTAACGTGCCTTCCGAAGCACGGAGTAGCTCGAGTTAATAATTTTTTCGGTCACCCATCCCGTGACCGACCCTTGCGAAAGTTGCTTAACGACTACGATCGCGGGCCACGGCGCTTATCCACTACGCCACCGAGCTACTTAATTGTATCGTCCTAAATTTCAAAGTCGACGTTTTATTTTGTCTCGTGTATCACGTGACTCGACTCGCCATGGTGTGACGTCACTCCGGCAACATCTGCCAGATTAGTTACAATAAAGTGCCTATTTATTATAAAACTGATTCCTAGATGGCGCTGTTCCTACATTATTTATATACTTTTATTTTTTAGCCAACTTATTAGATTGACATCTGTTTTGTGTACTATACTTCAAATTATGTTGGTTATTTTTCATATTCCCGCTGTAGGATATAATCTACATATAATTTTTAATGCAATTATAATTAATGAAATGTGTAAAGAATATATGTATTTCTAATTGTAAAGGTCTGGTGGGCGTGTTGAACGCGAATTTCTATTTCTGGATATTTTTCACTGCCCTGCACCTGATCACCTGTTTGGTGATGACATTCCAAATATATTACCTCGGCAGGTTTAGACTGGGTGAGTACTTAGCGTATTTGTGACGTACAGCCGGTAGCATGTCTGGTTTTGAAAAACTGTCAAATTGGACCATTTCATTTTAAACCTTAATACATCGAAGCTAGAAGTTGTTGAAATTAGACATATATTGTACTAACCTGACGTGCAGAAGTGTGTAGAGCAGTTTTCAAGCGGCAAATATCACAGTAGATTTTGAATTTGGATTCAGAGATTGAATGTATTTTCTACAATCGTTACGTTGACATAATGTTGATCTACAAACAAATAATGTGCAGTTAGCCAGTGTTGCCAGAGATATATTTTTTACTGCCGTGTTTAGTGGGTAAAATTACAGTGTTTTTCAGGAAAAGATAACTAGCTAATAAAATAAAATTTATTTGATTTGCTAGTTAGGCTTAATTATTTAATAAATTAATAATGTTTTATTTTTAATTGTATTTAATAATCAACAAAACGTAAACTCGGGTAACTGCTTTATAATTTGAGCCAAAAAATCGCTTTACTTATGGACCAATGGCAATAATAATAATAATAATAATAATAATAATCTTTATTCAAACCAAAACATAACATTTTCTTATATATTTAAATTAATAATGTTGCATTTTTGGTTACAAATTAGCACCTAAATTATTGTGAGCCCCTGACTCCCAAACTAGAATTAAATCTGTTTTTTGGAAGTCAGTGATTCCTCTTATCTCAATGAACATTTTACAACCATTGTTTGCAATGGTCACCGAATGCGTATACGCACGTATACGCATTCGTTTCACATAACACCCAAATTTGTCGCCTTAATATTTTGGAAATGACAGATCGATTATATCACAAACGAAAAAAAGGTATAAATGAAGAATTTTTTTTGGAATTTAATTAAACTGCTTACGCGATTCGTAAGACTACGCGTTTCCTTGTCAAGCTTTGCCTAGGCACGCAATATGTTAGGCACGCAATATGTTAGGCACGGCACTCGCGGCATAGATGCGTCCGGTGTACGACCTAATGTGTGACGTCAGTCATGATCGCTGGCCCAAGGTGCACAAGCGGAGCGATTTCAGCTCAAATAGTGGGGTGGTTGTCCACATTTAAAATTGTGCCGTGCAGCATTTACGATGAACGTTATCACAACGTGTAGACCAGATCTGGGCAAATGGCGGCCCGCGGTAGAATTTTGTGTGGCCCCTGAAGCATTGTATAAATTATTATTAAAAACACAAATATAAGTTTTTGTTTAACATAAATGGTGCATAAAAAATTTTAGATAAAATATTAAGCAATATTTACACATAATCAGGACCGGTGGGAGCCAAAACTTTTCCCGAACAACCGCTATTTTCAGCGCTCCCTATTCGAAAATATAATTATGATAATTGAACAATTACAGTATGCATAATAGTTGCACAATTTCATTAGTCATTATACTTATTATGTCACATTATTGCATGAATAAATAAAATAACTTAAATCTAAAGTCGCTATTTTCTCCTGCGATTTAGTAGAATGCAAGTTATTTTATATTAATTTTAACTTGGAGAAAAATCTTCCCGCAATAAATACGCCGAAAATTAAACGAAACAAAAGCAGATATAGATCTACTGAGGGGGTATGCATAGTAAAATACTAAAGAAATAATGAAACTGATTTATTTGCTTAACATATTTTTCAATTCCAAGAGTCTGAACGGCTTTTTGTTTTGAAATGTTCTAACATAATATTGGCCCATCCCTTGTGCCGCGATGCAGACGCGCGCGTGTTGTCCCGCGCGGCCCGCGAGGTGCTGGCGGCGCCGCTGGCGGCCGTGACTCCCACGCACTGCGGCCGCTGCGTGCTGCTGGCGCTGGCCAACCTCGCCAACTGGGCCCTCGCCGCCTACGGGTGAGCACACATATACCAGTATACACACTCTACACTCGCGCACGCATATACCGTGACGCCCACGCACTGCGGCCGCTGCGTGCTGCTGGCGCTGGCCAACCTCGCCAACTGGGCCCTCGCCGCCTACGGGTGAGCACTTATACCAGTACATATACTCTACTGCGCTCGCGCGGATGACAATGTCACAAACCTAAAATGAAGTTTTTTTTGCTTTTGACAACATTTTTCTTTGTTAAATATAAACTTTATAATACAAAGATCCCTGTGAACGTAAGTTGCATAGAAACTGCTAGGTGGCGTAGTGACGATACGTTGTTTAGCGGCTAATTACAATTTCTTGAATTTTAAACGCTCATTACTGAAAATCGCATTTTTTGCATCGTGTCACTATCGTTCTCAGCGTACGATATATACAATCCATCTCTGTCTAATACGTGTTTAATCGAGGTTTGTGTAGTATCTTATTTCCCAAAGTATTACGCATTATTTAAATTTGGATGAAATAACTAATGCACTAATATATTATGATTATTATTTATTTGTACACAAATCGAAACGTACTATGCGAGATGAATAAGAATAGAATCGGGTTCCTATCAAGTTCATTGGCTAAACTGTCATTTTGGTACTGAAATAAACAGTAAAGAAAATAAAGTTAACTTTATTAAAATAAATTTTAGTATTGACATGAATTTATCAAGAATTTGTAAAATATATTTTCTGAACTAATCACTCTAAGGGCTATACGCCATTTTATGACTTCGGGTTCAATGAAGGAAGTATTTAAAAAAGAAAGCACTTAAAATTACCTCCACTAGATGGCGCCTCTAGCAAAAATTGATTTTTGTAAGAAACAAATGGACCAAAGATAATCATATCCGTTCCTTTTAACTAACACATTAAAAAACTGAAATTTGCAAAGTTCGAATCTTAGATATCAATACAATACGAAAAAGTACAAATAGAATATGAGTTGTTTATTGAGTTTTGAAAACTAATTTACTTTTATGAATTAAAAAAAACCGGTAGGGTTATCATGGAGAAATCAAGAAAGTACCGTAGCGACATCTAGTTTGTTTTTGGGAACTAATGTTTTTTTTTTTAATACTTCCTCATTACAAGCGTCAGTGCGTTGGAATACATTATATCATATTACACTAATGCGTTGATTTGTATTAATTTTTTTGCATACCTTATACTCTGAAGTTGTTATATTTTTATTAATTTTGGCTTTACAATGCCATACTGAAAATTATTCTTAATACAAAATGCTTAAAAAATCCACTTGGTCCCTGGCACCTATATACGCTCTGTAGTAGCGAAAAGTAACAAGTGCTTGAAAGATTCGTCAGTCCTGTTAGGTCCTGGGCAGCTCAGTGGTTAGAGCAGTCGCCCTGATTGCGAAAGGTCGTGGGTTCGATTCCCATCTCAGGGTGCCAGGGACCAATTGGTTTTTTTAAGCATTTTGTATTAAGAATAACCCTGCAGTTGGATTGCAAAGCTAACCGAGATGTCTTTTTGACAGTTCTGTTCTTATTCGACTCACTTAGCGGTCACTGTCGTCAATAAATATAAAAAATATTGTCAGCCGATATGTATGTATTATAATTGATTATTATTGTTATGTCCAGTCTGTCGCAGCACAGTCGCGACTTCGCGTCCCACCTCCTGTTGGTATTGATGAGTAATCTGTTCCTGTACACCCTGTTCTACATCGTAATGAAACTGCTGCATCGCGAGTCCATACGGTGGTACAGGTCAGTCAATGTTATCATTTACATCGCATTACAGGTTTACTATATATAATTTACGGTCTAGGGAATCTCTCAGAGAAATATTGAAAGAAATAAATATTCTGACTGTTGCCCCTCAATACATCTATGAGAATATTATGTACACAAGAAAACATTACGATTCCTTCACAAAAAAAAGTAGTGTTCATAATCTTAACACAAGAAATAAAAATAAACTTGCCGTTCCAAGCTTCAGACTTCAAAAAACCAGAGGATCATTTCTGGGTAAATGTATTGCTATGTTCAATAAAGTACCACAAAATGTAATTGATCTACCCATAAATAAATTTCAAATTCATGTAAAGAATATACTTATGAGTAAAGGCTATTATAAAGTTGATGATTATTTTAAGGATCGCAATGCATGGAATTAATAGTCTTCGCTTTGTTCTATAAAGACTAATTACATGTTCAACCTATGTCCTACAGACTTTGAAAGTTGTATTTATTATTGTGATAATACATTTTATTATTTTAGTAGTGACATTTCACTGGCTCGTTTACATTGGCTAATAGGGGTCGGCGCAGTGTATCCTAACATCCCTCTGACAGAGCGAGCCACCGTCTCATCAACCCCCTCTTTCATATCATACCTCACACAGGCTATCTTTTCTGTGGTCTTCCTTTTGCTCTTTATCTATCTACTTCCGATCCCTTCTTATAATACTTATGTCCTAAAATAAAATGTCTAATATGGTTTCCTTCCACTTCCTGTTTTACTAATGCTGGTTACTTACAAGCTTCCTCTTATACCTGTACCCGATCCTTCATACTCACCTTTCCACGGCTCAACATTTTGAAATATTCATTAGTCAATCGACCAATGGAATGTGAATAACCTTAGAAATTACGAATTGACATCTCTAAGACTTTCAGTCTTAAATTTAAAAGCAATTAATACTGTAAATCATTTAAAGTTATTTACATTTTTGTTTTGTAGTTGGGTGTTTATCGTGTTGACGTACACCACGTGGTTCGGATCGAGCTATTTCTACTTGGACCAAAGCACAAATTGGGCGGTAAGTCGTAGTAGTAACTCCAAAACTTGTACATAAATTTGTTGATAATGCAGTCCATTTCGGGTTATAAGCAGAGGTCGGAATTAGGTAGAGTTATTTAAGTACTTGCATCGAAATGTTGATATTAATGTGGACCCTCCCGGGATTTCTTTATTTCTTTCTTTCATTGATGTAAGTTTGGCAACGTCGTGCGTGCAGTAGTTTAAATTGTGTAAAAGTAAATAAATTTTTATTTAAAAAATCACGGGATTTTTTCTGCTCTTTAAAATTAATCTCTGGGGTTTGAGGCATATCCACTTTATTCTTTCGCTGTATGAAATCAGTGTAAGTACATGAATAACTCTACCTAATTCCGACCACTGGTTATAAGTCGTCGCATTTTTATATAAGCTTATAGGTAACTAATGAAAACCCCTCCCTCCCTTCAAAATAAAACAATAAAATTATTTTTTGAAGAGATTTAATTTTAAATAGCAAGTGGCAAATACAGTACTAAAAAAACTCTTTAATATTAACTCGACAAACACCCCCCCCCCCCCCCACCCCCCCTTGTCTGGACAATTTTAACCTTGATCGTCAAGTTTGCATCGTATCTTTGACTGAACATAGAACGTGTTCAGGAAGTAGTGATTACCTACAACCTGTCTAATATAGTAATAAGTTAACGTTTCGCACAGCTGACGCCGGCGCAGTCTCGCCAGAGCAACAGACCGTGCTCCCTCCTCAGGTTGTACGACATGCACGACACGTGGCACTTCTTGTCGGCGGCCGCCATGTTTGTTTCCCTCAACATGTACCTTACCATAGACGACAATCTGGCCACGGTGCCCAGAGACAGGATTATGGTGTTTTGAAAATGTTTCACTTATAGGATTGTACGACGGAATAATAAACATTTCTACCTATCCGTAGAATAAAGTTATATACAGAGTTA